CCTTACAGAAAGTATTACTAGATATCTAAATACAATATGGTTCAAAACAGGAAATTTAAAAAGATTATGTAAATTCTGTAGTTGTATTCCTAAAGACAGAAGCTGAAATTTTTTCCTACTTCTCCTTGTATCACTTCCCTTTTCCTTCACTTTCACTTCCCTGGAATTGTACTTCCCAATAAACTATTAGCAGTGAACTTCATCTCATGATCTGTTTTATAGAGCACTTCAGCTGAGACGAGTACCAGCTGGTAATTGATTATATTGGCTATTCAACCCTACAGGTTTATTTAAAAAGAACTTGAATAGGCTTTTTAGGGTGAAAGAGGTCAGTCTCAGCCATTTCTGTTTCCTGATATAGCTTTTAAGTCTTTCCTTATTAGCAATGAAAGGCCATTCCATTGTAATTTTTTGATAACCATTTTTCTTTCTGTGTGTCAAATGCAGATGTAAGATACTGAACTGAGTCTATTTCACTGTTCGTAAAACAATCTCATTTGGAAAAAAAAAAAAAAGTCTACAGATATTCCAGGGATAGGGTGTAGTAGAGAGAGAATAAAAGGTATTTTATTACTATGTCTCTATATCCTACCCTGTAGGATCTCTTATCAAGCATACAGGCATATACCAAAATCAAGACATTTTTCTCATTTATTTTATTGCCCTAACATATTCTGGGTTAATATAATATCGTAATAAAAATTTGAGAAAAAAATTGATTTTTTTCAAAAGTGTTTAACATTTGTTATATTGGAAGGTTTTTTTTTCTTGTTTGTGGTAAAAATAAATAGAAGGTGCATTTCATATCTTCAAGTATGATTACATTTTGAAAACAAGTCATTAATACTCATAAAATGCAAATTTTAATGTTCTTTTTTGTTACAGCCAAACTATAATTAGGCACAGTTATAAATTGGAGTTGAAATTTAGTAAGATATTTCTTTATAGATAACACTTAATGGTTTTAGAGATGGGCTTATGAAACAGTAAATATACAGGTATAGGGATAAAATTGTGTCTGACGGTCATATGAAGTGTTTGTTGTTATATTCTCTCTTGGGATAGCTGCCAAATATTTTAGTATGCTTAAAATCTGTGAATGTTATGGAGTCAACAAATTGAGATCACATATCATATTCAGAAAAGCATAGTTAGAGAAATAACCATTGAAATGAGCATACAGCAATCTTCCTTTATCTGCAGGGATACATTCCGAAAGCCCCACTTGGACACGTGAAATTGCGGATAGCAGCAAACCCTACATATACTGTTTTTTCCAATGCTTACGTACCTATGAAGAAGTTTAATTTATAAACTAGGCACAGTAAGAAATTAGCAACAGTAACTAATAACAAAAGAGAACAATTATAACAAGAATAAAAGTTATGTGGGTATGGTCTTGCTTTCTCTTTCCCTCTCTCTCTCAAAATATCTTAGTATTTTGGGTCTGCAGTTGATGGTGGGTAACTGAAACCATGGAAAACAAAACCACGGATAAAAGGAGACTACTGTGTATACTTTTTAAAACTGAGGAAATATTAAACTCATGTTTCTTCTATATCCCACCAGTTTCCCCCCACCCAAACCTAGATAGATATCTTATTTGATCTGTAAACAATTAATTTGTAAAAGTTAAGAACTTTTTAAAGTAAAACTGTAATATATCTTCACACCTAAAGAAATAAACAATAATTCTTAAAAATCCAGTCAGTGTTCAAATTTCCCCAACTACCTCATACGTGTTTTCCATTTGCTTATGTTGGGATCCCAAAACGAATGAAATAAGGTTCTTAGGTTGCAATTGGCTAATTCTCTCTCACTTCTACTTTAATCTGTAGGTTCCCACTAACTTCTTTTTTGTTGCAATTTACTTGGTGAAATTAGATGTATTATTTGTCTTGTGTAGTTTTTCACAGTGCAAAATTTGCTGATTGTAGCCAGTGATGTGAACAGTGAACATGTTTTTCGTCCCTTATATTTGCTGTAAGTTGTCAGTGATAGTTAAATGTGAATCAAATTCAAATTTGGATCGTGTAGGACTTTTCTTTTCTTTTTTTCTTTTTTTTTTTTTTTGAGACGGAGTCTCGCTCTGTCGCCAGGCTAGAGTGCAATGGTGTGATCTGGGTTCACTGTGATCTCCGCCTCCTGGGTTCAAGTGATTCCCCTGACTCAGGTTGCCGAGGAGCTGGGATTACAGGCGCGCCACCACACCCAGCTAATTTTTTGTATTTTAGTAGAGATGGGGTTTCACCATGTTGGCCAGGATACTATTGGATCTCCTGACCTCGCGGATCAGGTAGGACTTCAATTGTTGAACAAACGAACTTTTAACAGCGGTTACACCATTAGGATGTCCTGATCCAACATAGAGGTCATAAATCCTATTGTCGATTTGGACTCTAGAATAGGATTGCGCTGTTATCCCTAGGGTAACTTGTTCCCATTTTATGAAGTTATTGGGTCAGTGAACAATAGCCCACTTAGACTAGTATGGTCTTGGTTTAAGATGGTGATGTGTATGTACTTCCATCAGAGGGCAGATAATACTGTAAATCCTCACTTCATCAATAGTTTCTTGGAAACTGTGACTTGAAGCAAAACAATGTATAACAAAACCAGTTTTACCATTGGCAATTGATATAAGCAAGAATTAAGTTCCTATAGCAAATTTCTGGTCACAAAAACACCATCAAACTCCTAAATAAAGATAAATCACTTCTGATATTAAACACTGAAATTAATGTGAGCTATATATACGTTTATGAAAGATTAATACAAACAAGTCAAATAACTTACCTATTTATTCCAGTGGAGACCGCAGGTGGCTGGACCCTCTCCTGGCAGCTTAGGGAGCAATATGGGAACCCACCCTGGACAGGACGCTGTTTCATCACTGCAGGGTGCTCTCACACACACCCAGTCACCCAGGCTGGAACCATGTAGACACACACACTCACCTAACCTGCACATCTGCATACATCCTTCAAAGTTCAGCCAAATAACATATAAACATATCCAGTAACATCCATCAGTCTTAGTTCTGCCGTAACAACTCCTTTTTGATCATCAAACAGGCTAGGTCCGCCATATTTACTTGTCTGGTCCATATCAAAATTTTCTAACAAATTATATTAGAAAATCAAATCTCTGTCAGTTTCAAAATGCATGAAAAAAAATTGCCTTATTTCCCTTATACTTGGCTATCCTAACAGTAATCTAAATATTAATGAGAAAGTTAATGATGTCGTTTGCTTCTCCCAGTTGTAAAGAAGGTTTGGCTGCCCCATTTGATCACTAAGGCTAATTGACACGCAGAAAAAAAGCATAGGAAACTTCTCAGCATCACAAAAGCTCTGTCATCTAGAGAAGCTAGGACTTGAGCTCAAGTCCTGTGACATGGAAGCCTTGTGCCTAGCTACCCCGCAGCAGAGCCCGTATCCTTCACTTGTACCAAGAAGTGAAACACTATGAAAACAGTCTTTACTCCACATTTTAAAGTGAGGTAGTTTGGGGTGGTTTATATTTTATTTAATGTATCTATTATTCGGATTTTTTTAGTTTATAGAAAGGGCATTGGCAAGGGCAGAATGATCTATAAGCTTCTCTGCCCACCTACCATAATTTGACCTTTTCTTACCGTCATCCATTTCCTTATACTTCAGTGTCCCTGTCAGTCACTTTCATGTGAAGACATGGGGAGGATTTTTTACATCAGACATGTTGTTGAAAATCAGCCTCATTGGCTGAGGGATTATTTGATCCCTTCCTCTGAGTCCATTAGGCTCACATTGCCTCTCTGTTCTTTGAATTTTCAGTTAACTTTATCTTCTTATAATTACTTTGCTAAAATAAATGCAAAGCAACAAAAGGTATTTAGTGAAGAATATCAACAAAGCCATGACCATTTCAGGCTGAGTTTTGAGTATTCTTTGTCTAGGAAGAGATACCTAGAAAAACTTTCTGACCATGTATTTGATTATTTCCCTTCAATATGTATAGTCTCAGTCTTCAAATTTCAGAAAAGAATTTGTGTATTCGTTGTCATTTAAAATCATTGTGTTAAATATGTATGCTTTTACATTATAAATGGTTATAAAAGTTAAGCACTTAGAAAAAAGTCAAAATAACATACATAACTATCCAGCAAAATAACTTTCATATTTTATTGTGTTTTCTTCCAAACTTTTTACCTTTGCATCTGAAATGTGTGTAGGTTGTATCTATAATACAAATAACACTTTATAGTCTGCTAAATATTATACCATAAATAGGTTGTTGTTACATAATTCTCAGGTAATAGTAATACATGTCTTTATCATAATCTACCGAGTAGCTGAATGATAATTTCTTTTTAAGACAAGGTCTTGCTCTGTCACCCAGGCTGGAATGCAGTGGCATGAACATAGCTCACTGTAGCCTCTACCTCCCAGGCTCCAGTGATCCTCCTGCCTCAGCCTCCCAAGTGTCTGGGACATAGGCATGTGCCACCATGCCTAGCTATTTATTTGTATTTTTAGTAGACTTGGGGTTTCATTGTGTGGTCCAGGCTGGCCTTGAACTCCTGGACTCAAATGATCCACCTGCCTCAGCCTCCCAAAGTGCTGAAATCACAGGAGTGAACCATAGCACCCAGCAATAATTTTTTAACTCTTCATTATTCATTGAACATTTAGTTAACAATTGTAAAAATGTTGTTTCCTGCTGTCATTGATCTTGTGAAGAATATTTTTGGACTATAGCTGTGGATTATTTCCTAAATAGTGAATTACTTGAGCAAAAACTTTACATACTTTGAGGGTTGGTAACCCATGTTGCCGCAATGTTTCCCCAAAGGCATTGCAGAGTTTAGAATGCCAGTACTTATATTAAAGTGTGCCATTTTCAACATCCCTGGCCAACATCCCTGTATGTAAGATTTTTCCAAAACATGGTTCTGATTTTTAAAAGTGAAAAATGCTACTTCATCATGTTCTTTTTGTGCTTCTCACTTTAAATATTAGAATGAAGAAGGAGCCCCACAGGAAGGAATTCTACAAGATATGCCTGTGGATCCTGACAATGAGGCTTATGAAATGCCTTCTGAGGTAGGAGTCCCAGCTGAATCTTTCTAACAGTACCAAAAACCTGTCATTGTCATATTTCTCTTGCTTAGTGAGAATCATTTGCTCTCTACATGCTCATTACGTGGACAACTTTCAAGCTAGGAATGGTTTTTACATTTTTAAAGGGTCCAAAAAAAAAAGAGGAGGAGGAGGAAGAGAGGATGTAACACAAATTCTAAGTCCACATAGCTTAAAATACTACTTGACTCTTTACAGGAAAAGTTTACTAACTCCTGCATTAGAGAATATATTTTTAGAAACTATACATTCTAAAACAAGTTTCTAAATGGAAAGTTAGGGAAATCAACGGAATGCCAAAGGAAGGTAATTATTTTTTGCCATACATTTCCAGTGGGATGATTGCATAGTAAAATAAAAGTTACCCACACAAGTTATAGAATGAAAAGATAAATGTGTGATTTGCAACAATTGATATATTCCAGTATAACATTTTAAACAACGTATGATTGTTAATTTTATTTTTATTGAAAACAAAAGTATTTTAATAGAAAATGTATCAAAAGGGAAATTAGAAAATACTGTTAGATGAAAAAAACTGACCCAAGAAGAAATAGTAAATCTGAATAGATTTGTATAGATTTGTAACACAGTGAAGTGATTAAATGATTAAATTAGTAAAAAAAAAAAAAAAAAAAAAAAAAAACACCTGCATGCAAAGAAAATCCCAGGCCGAGACAGCATCACTGGTAAATTCTACCAAACATTTAAGGAAGAATTAATACTAATTAGTTAACACCAATTAATATCTCTTACACAACATAGGAGTCATTTAGACATTTCCCAACTAATTCCGTGAGACCAATATTACCCTGATAATCAAAACCAAACAAAGATATCACAAGAAAAGAAACTGTATGATGGTTCCATTAAAAATTGAGTTCAAATATGTTGTGGTTAGGTTATGTATTATTCCTCATGGCATTATTAAAAGGCATATCAAGAATGGGTGCAGCGGCTCACACCTGTAATCCCAGCACTTTGTGAGCCAAAGTGGCCAGGTTACTTGAGGCCAGGAGTTCAAGACCAGTCTGGCCAACATGGTGAAACCCCATCTCTACTAAAAATACAAAAATTAGCCAGGCATGGTGGAACATGCTTATAGTTCCAGCTACTTGGGAGGCTGAGGCACAAGAGTTGCTTGAACCCAGGAGGCAGAGGTTGCAGTGAGCTGAGATGGCACCCCTGAACTCCAATCTAGGCAACAGGGCAAGACTGTCACTCACACACACACACACACACACACACAGAGCATATTAATAATAATTCAATTTATAGAAATTGAGATTAAATTGTTTGCCTAATAAGAATTTCCAATATTTTGGGGTCTTTTATGCAAGACACAGTACTAAACACTATAGAAAACTATAGTGTAATTGACATTACCAGGATATAAGGAGTTTACAATCTGGTAGGTTTGATGAAAAAAATAGAAATTCATTCATTCATTTCTTCATTATGATTCCTTCCTTTAACAAACATTATTGATTGCCTTCTATGTACCAGGCATCACAGGAGCAAAGATATACAAGATATACTAAAAAGTATAACATTTTAAAGGATCTGTTTCAATCAATCAGGAGTAGTTTTATTGAGGAGGTAATGTTGATCTGGGTGGGAAAAGGAAAGAGATATGGTAGGGCAAAACAAACAGAGGACGTTCTGGCACAAGGGAATATCAGAAGCAAAGGCATATGTGTCTGAGAATGCAAATGGATATGTCTGAGAACAGTAAATAATTATGACTCAAGCTTAGGAACAAGGAAAATGGTGATAGATTGAACCTGCAGCTATGGGTCAAAGACAAATTATAGAGTATTAGGACAATCTTGTCATTTAAGTTTGTGTTCTATTCAGAAAACAACTTCAGTTATTGAAGATATGCTTATTTGTTTGTTTTTAAGCAGAATCCTGATATTATTAAAGTTGCTCTTTAGGAGGAATAATCTGACCCCTTTAATTACATCATTAATATTTGTATTGTGGATGCTTTCCAGATATTGTATGGAGAGCTTGGGGTCTGAAATACAACTAATAATTGAAGCCATAGATGAAGATGAAATTTTCAAGTGGGAGAGCGAAAGTAGGGAAAAGGTACCTCGCCTTCAAACGTCTTAATTTCCTTCTGAGAATTAGAGCGTCTTAGCCCTGGAAAAGGCTTTATAGACCGCTTGATTTTATTCTCACATTTTACAGGTGAAGAAACTGAGAATCAGCCAGTCCAACTTATTTGTCCTACCTGACTAGGTATATGATCATTAAATGGTACATCTGGATTAGAACCGAGATATTTTAACTGATTACTACCACAATTCACGTCTATATCGGACAGGAAATACACAACTATTAAAAATAAGATAATGTATATTGCAGAATATTTGCAAAAACATTGAGTGTAAATTTTAATGTAAGTGATGAGCCATTTCCTATCTCATTGGCTGTCAGTGCTGATGCATGATTGAAACTTACACTAACAGTGCGTGCTGTCTTTTTTATTTTTCTAATATTAGGAAGGGTATCAAGACTACGAACCTGAAGCCTAAGAAATATCTTTGCTCCCAGTTTCTTGAGATCTGCTGACAGACGTTCCATCTTGTACAAGTGCTCAGTTCCAATGTGCCCAGTCATGACATTTCTCAAAGTTTTTACAGTATATTTTGAAGTCTTCCATCAGCAGTGATTGAAGTATCTGTACCTGCCCCCATTCAGCATTTCGGTGCTTCCCTTTCACTGAAGTGAATACATGGTAGCAGGGTCTTTGTGTGCTGTGGATTTTGTGGCTTCAATCTATGATGTTAAAACAATTTAAAAACACCTAAGTGACTACCACTTATTTCTAAATCCTCACTATTTTTTTGTTGCTGTTGTTCAGAAGTTGTTAGTGATTTGCTATCGTATATTATAAGATTTTTAGGTGTCTTTTAATGATACTGTCTAAGAATAATGATGTATTGTGAAATTTGTTAATATATATAATACTTAAAAATATGTGAGCATGAAACTATGCACCTATAAATACTAACTATGAAATTTTACCGTTTTGTGATGTGTTTTATTAACTTGTGTTTGTATATAAATGGTGAGAATTAAAATAAAATGTCGTCTCATTGCAAACAAAATTTTATTTTTATCCCATCTCACTTTAATAATAAAAATCTTGCTTATAAGCAACATGCATTGAGAACTGACACAATGGACATAAAGTTATTAATAGGCATTTGAAGAAGGAGGAATTTTAGAAGAGGTAGAGAAAATGGAACATTAACCCTACACTGGGAATTCCCTGAAGCAGCACTGCCAGAAGTGTGTTTTGTGGTGCCTTAAGTGGCTGTGATTAAAAAAAAAAAAGTGGGCTCCAGGGAACGAAGCAGTGTAAAAGATGATTTTGACTACATCCTCCTTAGAGATCCATGAGACACTTTAGCACATATTAGCACATTCAAGGCTCTGAGACAATGTGGTTAACTTAGTTTAACTCAGCAGTCCCCACTTAAAAAAAAAAAATCATCAAAAATTCTCTCTCTCTATTCCTTTTTCTCTCGCTCCCCTTTTTTCCAGGAAATGCCTTTAAACACCTTTGGGAACTATCAGGATCACGTTAAAGAAGATCAGTTCTCCAGACTGATAAAAATTTCATGATCTCTTTTAAATGTTGCCAAATATATGAATTCTAGGATTTTTCCTTGGGAAAGGTTTTTCTCTTTCAGGGAAGATCTATTAACTCCCCATGGGTGCTGAAAATAAACTTGATGGTGAAAAATTCTATATAAATTAATTTAAAATTTTTTTGGTTTCTCTTTTTAATTATTCTGGGGCATAGTCATTTTTAAAAGTCACTAGTAGAAAGTATAATTTCAAGACAGAATATTCTAGACATGCTAGCAGTTTATATGTATTCATGAGTAATGTGATATATATTGGGCACTGGTGAGGCAGGAAGGAGGAATGAGTGACTATAAGGATGGTTACCATAGAAACTTCCTTTTTTACCTAATTGAAAAGCGACTACTACAGAGTGCTAAGCTGCATGTGTCATCTTACACTGGAGAGAAATGGTAAGTTTCTTGTTTTATTTAAGTTATGTTTAAGCAGGGAAAGGATTTTTTATTGAACAGTATATTTCAGGAAGGTTAGAAAATAGCTGTTAGGATATATTTTAAATCTACCTAAAGCAGCATATTTTAAAAAATTAGAAGTATTGGCATTAAATGAAGAAATAGAGGACAAAACTAGACTGACAGCAATGACCCAGAACATTTTGAGATTAGTAAAGTTGTGACCATGAATTTAGGGATTTATGTGGATACAAATTCTCCTTTAAAGTGTTTCTTCCCTTAATATTTATCTGGTAGTTATTTATGAGCAGTGAATTATTTTGTAGTTTATATATCTTAATAGTTTATTTGGGACCAAGCACTTAACAAAAAGTTCTATAAGTCATAGAAGCCTTTTCAGGAAGCTTGTCTCACATTCATTCCTGAGACTTTCACCTGCCAAGCGGCCTGAGGATCAATCCGGTCCTAGGTTTATTTTGCAGACATACATTCTCCCAAGTTATTCAGCCTCATATGACTCCACAGTGGGCTTTACCAAAACAGTTCAGAGTGCACTTTGGCACACAATTGGGAGCAGAACAATCTAATGTGTGGTTTGGTATTCCAAGTGGGGTCTTTTTCAGAATCTCTCCACTAGTGTGAGATGCAAATATGTTTCCTCATTTTTCTGGTTCATCCAGTATGTAGCTTTTTGTGACATAATAAATATATACATATATGAAAATATGTATTTGGTTTCTGCCTCCAGTTCTTACAAAGAGCTCCTAAAACCCTTGTAATTTCCCGAGTGGTAGGGGTGCTAGGGTCATCCTTTGTTCTAATATTTGGTCTTTGACCCTGCTTTCTGACACAGAGCTCCTAAGTCCCTGGGCGAGAGTAGTATCTTCTCTTCTAATGAAGGGACTCTTGCTGGGTTCCTGGACTGGGGGCTGGTCACCAGAAAAGTCACGCCATGATAAGAAGCTTGAAGCTTTTAGCCCCATTTCCATCTTCTGGGGACAGGAGAGAAGAGGAGCTGAGTTAATAAGCAACCATGCTTCCATGATGAAAACTCCGTAAAAATCCCTGAAAGACAGGATTCAGAGTGATTTGAAGTAAGTGAACATGCAGAGGTGCTGGAAAGGGTGGTGTGTCCAGAGAAGGCATGGAAGCTCCCCACGCCTCCCCCATACCTTTCCCTGTGCATCTCTTCCATCTGGCTGTTCCTGAGTTGTATCCTTTTATAACAAACTGGTAATCTAGTAAGCAAACTGTTTTCCTGAAGTCTGTGAGTCACACTAGCAAATTATCAAATCTGAGGAGAGGGCCGCGGAGACCTTGGATTTGTAGCCAAGTCAAACAGAAGTTATGAGTAACATGAAGACTCATCATTTGTGATTGTCATCTTCAGTGGGGAGGGGGAAAATTTTGTAAAACTGAGCCCTTAACCTGTGGGTCAATGCTAACTCCAGGTAGATAATGTCCGATTTGAATTATGGGACACCCAGTTGATAGCCACAAAGAATGGGAGAATTGCTTGGTGTAGAAAACACACCCCACACACACATGTGGTGGTAGAAATGAAGTGTTCTGGAAATAATGAGTGTCGTGAGTGAGTATATAGAAAGAAAAACAGCTTTTCCTTTTCACTACTGGATTAAACACAAACACACTTACGCATTCACACATCTCAAAGACAACCATCAATTCTCAAAGATGGTGCCATCTAAATCCATACTGAGGAAGAAAACACATTTTCTTTTCCAGTCTGTAAACCTGACAGACTGCCTCGTCCACACACTAATGGAACTCTGCGTTTTATCTGGAATGCGTTCATCCCATTTAGTTCTTTCTGTCTTGGGCAGGGCAAGAGTGCAACAGGGCTGACATTTTCACATGAGCTCTGTCCCTGTTATTGGCTATACTTAGACAAATTATTATGTGTCAAATATAGATGTAAGTGATTTATCAATATTAAGTCACTTAATTCTCAAAACAACCTTAATAGGTTCCATTATGATTCTAATTTTATACATAAGCCAACGGAGGCACCCTCAGGCTAAATAACTTTCCCATGGCCACACAGCTAGTAAGTGGCAGAGCCAAGAGGCCCAATGTTACAGTACCACAGTCTGTGCTCTCAGCCCCTTGGCCACATAGTGTCTGAGCGAGGACACAGAGCTATTTAAGAGAACTTCCAGAAGTCTAGGAAATGGGGTGATAGCTCCACTTTTCTAGGTATAATTATTAGATATTTGTTTTTCTTCAGGCACCCAAAGAAAACTTACTAGAGTTTGAGCCTTTAGCAAGTTTTGCTAGTGTATTTGTTTTTCTTCAGGTGCCTGAAGACAAACATATATACACACACACAAACGCACACACGCACACACACACAATGTGCATCTATATATGTGTGTACACACATATATACACATATCTCTTATCTATATATATGTCTCTCTATATATCTACAAACATATATCTATAGATACATAGAGAGAGATTTTATTTATTTTTTCTTTTTTTTTTTTTTTGAGACGGAGTCTTGCTCTTGTCACCCAGGCTGGAGTGTAATGGCACAATCTCAGTTCATTGCAATCTCTGCCTCCAGGGTTCAAATGATTCTCCTGCCTCAGCCTCCTGAGCAGCTGGGATTACAGGCACCCACCATCTCAGCCCAGCTAATTTTTGTATTTTTAGTAGAGATGGGGTTCACCATGTTGGCCAGGCTGGTCTCGAACTCCTGACCTCAAGCGATCCACCCACCTCGGCCTCCCAACGTGCTGGGATTACAGGTGTGAGCCACCATGCCTGGCCAAGATTTCTAATTCTAAGAGAAATTAACACCTGATAGATATTTCCTTGTAACTAAACCAGGCATATTCTGATTATATAACTAAGTTATTTATTTTCAGTGGAAGATACAGATGTTGATACAATAATAGCGGCAGTCTACAGTAAGGTGGGCTTTGTAAATTTCTATGTTGAATCATGGCATGGTTACTTGGCTTATGTCAAATAGCCAAAAAATATAAATTAAAGTATAACTAAGATTGTCAATTACACATATTTAGTAATGGAATGAATGAAGTTATAAATAAATAGTAAAGGGCATGAATTAATAATCTGTATGTATAAATAATAGTAGCAACTTAATATTGTATAATAAACTTCGATTTTCTAGGTATAGTTTTTTGATGCAGTAATGTTCATTTTATCCTTTGAATAAGCATAGAATTGAAGAACCCAAAATAAAATAGAATAGATATAACACTAAAACTATTCTTAAATATGATTTTAGTTCCAATGTTCTTTGTGTAATTACCTACGGTTTTCTTTAATGTTTTGCTGCTACTACATTATCCTTAATTATTTGAAATCTTACATTGGAAGCAGTTAAACCACATTCCTTCAAAGAGCCCTTAGTTTGAGCCTTTAGTAAGTTTTGCTAGTATAATTTGGTTTTAAAATCAGCAGGATTGCATAGGGAATTTCCATAACATATTGATGATCTGCAACTATAGGTTAATGTACTAGGATGGCTTCTCTTATGAACTTTATGAAAATATATCCTCAGATTCCCTCAAAGGTCAGTGACAGAAATCCTCATTGTTTCTATGGCAACACAGCAAGAGATGGTGCCTTGGAAATGTGCTGCATTTTAATTAGGTTCCTCTAGGGCTTCCTAACTGCCTTTTGCAGGTAAACTAAATACCAGGTTGCCTTTTATCTTGCAATGAAATGAAAGCTAATGCATGTCTGTAAATGTCAAAGTTAAGCTGTGTTCCAATAAAGTTGAATCTAAACAAATATAGTAGCAAGTCATGCTTTTATCTTAGAAAAGAATACAATACTCTTTACCTAGAATAGTCAGGGATGCTGCTTAATGAGATAGGTTAGAGTAATAGAGAATATCCTGAACTCTAAAACTATTAATAGACTATGGAACTTCGACTCCTATTTATGCCACTTACTACTTAATATTAGTGTCTTTGTTTCCTTATACATAAATATGCAAATGATAAAAATAGTGCCTCATGGCATTGTTGCATGCATTAAGTGAGTTAATATAAGTGGAACACTTAGGACTGCCTGGCTGATAGTAAGCGATCAATGAGTCAATGATGCTATTTATTAGTAGTAGTACTAGTACAGCACACTGTATTTTTAAAGGTAAAAAAGAAATAACAGATTTTTTAAATGTTCAGATACATTCACATGTCTTCTTTTAATATAAAATAGCAATCAAGATCAAGATAGTGGTAGAGATATTTTGGAGACATAAGGCAGAGGCTATTTACTAATAGCTAGGGGAGCATTTTACTAGTTTACTGACCAATGTTACTATACTTATGTGTACTTTGCAGAATATCACCTAGCACCAAAAAGAAACTAAGAAAGTGTAACTTACTGAGAGGTGAATATGCACCAACTCCATAAACACTATGTTTATGGAACACATCTAACTTTAGACTTAGTTATACTCATCAACTTATGTATCTTCTCATCCAAGTGGGATGTGTTTAATATTTACCATATATTCATAAATTCACTGAGTATTGTTCTGGTAACTAGAAAAAAAAAGGACAAGCATATATAAGTAAAACTCAGTGATCTAAAACAGAGTATTATCAACTACAAAAGAAAAAAATAACCACTTGAATCTCCACTGATTTCTCAAATCTCATTTATTTCCCATTATCTTCCCTCACACCTCTTGCATTTATTTAGTTAAAGTTCTTTTTGATCCAAAAGGAAGCAATGTTTACTGGGCAATTTCTACCTTATGCCAGAAACAACAAATATACCAGCAATTACAGTATTTCCAAGAAAAGTATTGTTTGTTTTCTCTTCATATCTTTGGTGAGTCCCTTGGAATTAGGATCAAAAAAGAGCGCATGAGCTGGTGAGATGTTTGCTATTGTCCTCTGTCAGATTTTCCTGTGCAGCAGCATGGAAAGTAGGTCAGTAGGACAGTGCATACTTGTCCTTTTGCCTTCTGGACACTGCGACAACCTAGGAATTGAGAGTAGCAGAAAATTATTGTTCAATACTATGTTTCCTAACAAAATCAACTCTTGTAAAAAAAAAAAACAAAGACTAAATATGGACAGATGAGCCTCTATAACGTACTACTAGAACATACTATGTGTTGCGTAAGGCCTCATCCAAATCTCTATGGAAATGGTCAAAGCAAGTTTGAGAGGCTGCCAAACATTAGTAATGTGGCAGCACTGACTCCTGCTGTTGAAGATGGAGTGTCCATGTTGAATGATGAGAAATCTGGCAAGTCTTTTTGGCAAACTTCCTTGGAAATCCATCTTGGGCATCCTTAGCTGTTTGTGCCATCCTTTAGCTAGGTTAGGCCATTTGTCTTAGATCAATGGGCAAAAGGGTAACAGCTGAGAAAAAGACCTTTCCTACAATTTTCTTGATCTCATCTAAAGCAAAAGAAGACATATCTCTGAAGGAACTGTAAATTATGTATTGTCAATAACTGATTCTGAGCTCTGATTATCACAGCAATGTTTGGATGTGAACACTGGTGGATACTTGGTGTCATTCTAAGAAGGAATCCAACACAATCCAAAGTTATGTTTAAGAACAGCTCTGTAAATCAATATTGTGGAGTTTCGGTGACTGTGTTTTCACTGCCCATGGTGAGAATAGACATTCAAATGCTACACTCTGTTGATTTTTGATGATCAGACCTACTTCCAGGCTGTTAGGTATAGGTTTTAGTCATG